GTAATGATAACCTCTCTCTTTTTTTTCATTATTATTTTTTTTTTACAGATGCTTTTCCTGGAGAAAGGAAAACCAAGGGATTAGACACGCAGCAGGTGTCTGCTTTGCGAAAGAAGTCTATAAATCTACAGCTCTCTGTACTATGCCTTGTCCCAGAAAAACTTCAATGCACAACACATTAATGACACAGCTCCCTAAAAATCTTTATACTTCTCTTCTACACTGGCTGTGTAAGACCTGAAAGACTAAAGAAACAGATAGAGTGTCTGGGAAAGCCAGACAGAATAACAAGTTGAAAGCAACACAACAGCTTTGCAGAAGTTGAGGACAAGGAACTCGTACTGGGCACTGGGAGTGCCCCTCGTCTCATGCCAATTTCTGCTAGAGGCTTTCAGGCAACCGTGGCAAACCAGTTCATCTCACTGTTTTTCCCAGGATTTCATAGCAAGAAAGAATTAACACCAAGCATCTAAAGGCAACAGTGCAGTAAAGTAAGCTTTGTACATAACCAGTGAGTTTCCAGAGGAATTTTAAGTAATGACATGAACTGTGTACTCACCCAAGTTAAGCCCAGTGTTTGGAAGAACCCATGATCACATTGCCTGTGTTAGCAAATGACCAACCAAAGGACCTCAGGGCCCCTTTCAGTCCCAATCCTATATCTCCTGCCTGAATTGTAAATACCTTATACAGTCAGCTTCTCATTATCCAAAATAACTGAGGCTGGCATGTAGGAAACAGCACAATCATGGTGAATAATAACAGGCACATAATGGGGCTTCAGGGTGATTCTACAAGCTTCTCTGAGGAAACCCGGTGGAAGGGATGCTTTGGCTTGCAAGAAACTGGCATGAAACTGCCCAGGAAGGTTTCAAAATCTAAACTTTGAGATACTGGCTACAGCTGCAATGCACTCCCAGCTCTCACAGAAGGAAGTGAGTCTGTGTGGGTGCTTCTTACTCTGTACCACAGTCACACTACAGCCCAGCTAAGTCTTGTGGGGACAACAGAGACAAAGCTACGAGATGCAGGGTCAGACTCAAGAACAGCATAACACAGAAGTGCTGGTTGGTCACCCTTGATCATTCTGGGAATTCAAACTGTTCAAAGAGCATTCACATGCACAGTCACTCAATTATTATATTAATTATTCACAAGTTATGTCTCCATTCTGTTCATTAATGCCCCTAGAACAAGCTACTAAATCATAGAGTACCTCCTACTCTAAACACATTATCCTGCAGGAGATTACACATTCGTTTCTTCCATTTCATCTGCTTCTTATCTTACAACTTTATGAAAAACAGAACCTGAAACCATTCAAAACAGCACGCCGTATTGCATTGTAATCACCCTTCTGTCTCATTGCAATAAAAAAGATATAAAAACAACCAGCATCAGTTATGCGCAGGATTCCTAAACATCGTGAAAGTAACAGCAGCATCACTTTTACATTTGATCAAATCATTTTGTATCTAACAATATCAGCACTGCCAGTAGTAAGGGCTGGTCTGACTGAATGTGAAATCTTGGCTCAATTTTTAGAAGGTTGGATCACCTACTGCAGCGGTGGAAATTGAAGCCTTCCCATACTGCTGTGTGCAGCGATCATAAAATGGAGTCTGAGTCCTAATTTTGAATTTCTTTAGTTGCAGACAATGTCCTGTAAAAAATACTTATACACATATATGGTAATTATTATTTCTCTAGAACTATGCTTACATGAAACTTAACTTGCCGGTTTGAATTCAGAAAACAAACAGTGAATGCCAATTGTAAAAGCAAAATATTACTGAAACACTATTGACTTTCAAAGAGTATGGGGGAAAAATTAATTGGCAGATGTTTTACATAGCATAATTAACAGTTCATTTGAATGCTCTGTAACAAGATTAAGATAATTATGCTTGGAAACAGAAATGTAATAATGATGAATTACTGGTTTTCATATTACGGTCATTCTCCTACATTCCAAATAATCACCATGTTCAGAAATAGGTGCATCTGTTCTATTTTGTCATCAGCTATACCAAGGGTTATAACTAGTGCCTGGGCAAAGCTGGGCTTTGAGATTTGCACCAGGACTAAAACAAATACCAGTACCATTCATCTGCAAAGAAGAAATAAAAACATCCATCCAGTTTTCACTAGGGCACACTTACTGGACAGAGCTGAAGATTCATTAACAATCTGAATTTATTTATTTTATTTATGGCTAACTGAAGAGCAAAGCTTGGATTCTCTGAGCTTAGCATGTTAAACAAACCCCCCAGTTATGGAAGTTCATCAATGAGAATAGAAGAATGTGTATTCTGTGAAGGTGCACAAAATATAAAATTATATGCTTTCTTGGAAGGGCAGTTAAGTAAGTAATAAGCCACTGAATGATTCCAGGCTAAGTATAAATTAAGAAGGAGACCAATTGTCAAGGTTTTCTTCTACTATATGCATAAAGATTTTTAGTACTGCGTTCAAGTGCCACAATATTAGTATAAATTATTTCAAATGAGCAGTTTCATGAATGCAACCCCTCGGTGTTAATAACATACTGATAAATTAGGCTTCATATTCTTGTATCTATATATAAATTTTATTTCAGGCTTTTCATTTTCAGGTTTTTTTTTTTTTCGTCTTTATTTTCTAAGTTGCATTTTTCTTCTATTTCTCTACAAAGACATACAACCATTAAAAAAACAACCCTACAGCCATTTTCCCTTTAAATTAGAAGCAGATTTTTGTACTTCACCTCTCTCATTTCTAATAGCTTCACTGCTTTCATCACACTTTTCTATCCTTTTTTTTTTTTTTTCTTTTATTTTGCTTTGCTTTCTACTAAATCAAGTCCTTGACTCTTGGAGTCTAAAACCTCACAACTAACAGCACAAAGATCAGAGCATGCACAGAAACAGAAATTACAAGATAGAAATCTCAAAGACTTGAAAATTAGACAGAGGATGAATAAACAGAGATAGAGGCAGACTGGAGGAAAATAAAGTAATGAAAAGCACTTTTAAAAATAAAAATAAATTAAAAAGGAAAACAAGTGTGTGACTGCATTTTTAATGTGCAGCTGAGGGAATTCAGTTCTGCAGAAAAGCTGTATTACACCTATCCAAAGCAAAGAAGATTGAAAGGGAGGAGGTAAGAGCAAAAGCATTTTAAACACTGACTGACATCTTTCACATTTAGTCTATGTTTTTATTTTCACCCAGAAGGGGGAAATTTTAAGATATTTACTGTTCCTACTGTTGGTCACTATTGCTTTTAGCTTTCATTTAAAAGAAAGATCTCACTCTGTAATGAAAGAAAACAAAACATTATGCAAAAAAATATTTTTGTATTGACCATCTTTCTCACTTCATTCCTTCTCTGTATGTCTCTGCATGTTTCCCAATTCACTTCCTTATTTCTAAGGCTTGTTTGGGCTTTCTGGCTGATTCAAGCACAGTTTTTCAGCAATCCCTAGCTACTCATATGCTCCCTGTTGCTCCCACATTATCTCCTTCTTAATGAGAAACGTGTGGCTCACACCTATGGATGAGAAATGAGAGTGCCTTTCTTCCTTTGGACTTGTCTTAGAAGAGGCAGGGAAGTCGGAACAGAAAACGGCAGAGAAAGGATTTCACCATAGAATTTGTTACAAAACATTACGTTTGCAACAGATAAGCAATTACTTTATATAAATACCCAATAGGCAATCTGCCTAATCTTAGTGAGATTTTGTGGCAGAATTGCAATGTAACTCCTAAAAGCAGGACACTTTTATAAGGCCGCACCCACAAATTGTTTTCAATTGTATTCAATTACAGGCAGAAATGCTATCCTGGGCTTTGATCTTTGATCTCCTCACATATCAGCAGTACACGTTAAGAAACTAAGAAGGTAAGAGACACACATGCATTGTAAAGATGTGTTGAGAAGATACTGTGAGGCATGACAGACACAATGATATACCTACAGTCGTGCAAAGCCCTTATGCAGATGAGTTTCAGACTAGAGGATGTGTAAGAAAAACATAAGGTGGACAAAAAAAGCTGCCTTCAATCCAAACCTCATTTTGCCAGTTACCTTGCATTGGACTAAAACACTGATAATGCCAACCTGTATACACTCGAAACTGTGATGACTGTTAAATCTCTTCTCCTAAACTTGATTTAATCTCAGATACTATCTCACCATCACTGGCAAGGCATTCCAATTCATCTAGAGTTGCTTTTACTGTTTTTCAGAAGCTTTTCTAACTAATTTCAAATCTCAGCACGAACTCATGTAATTTCTCTATAACCTAATTTAATATTTAATTTTGAAATAGGTACCTAATTGAATGGAGCTTCTTCAAGTGCATTTTCAACTCAGATGTGGCATACATTTAAGGTACATTTCTTGTAATATCCTATGGTAATATTTCATAAAGTCTTTTATTTTAGTAAACAGTTTTGCATGTTAGTATAATCGGTACTAAAACTGAGTCTGTCCCACTGACTAAAGAGGTATATAATCGGTACACAGCCTCACTGACACAATATATGCAACCTATTACAATCTTCAAAGGGTTACACTTGATACTACTTCCCTATAATTTCTTTGAAATAACTAAGAAATCCTAGTTTGGTGTGAAGATCAATTCAGACTTACATTCAAAGTGCTTAATTGCTATGATTTTGTATCTCAAGTTTTGGTCATATAATCATTTTTTAAACAATTAAGTTTCCAAAAGTAACACAAACTAAGAGGTTACTATTACCATTTCAACTTTAAGTCTTTGTATATAAAAAGATGTAATTTCAAGTAGTGTTTGAACATACCTAATAATTGAATTCTACACGATATTCAAACAGTATCTGAAATTACATTAAAAATGCATTTAAAATGTAAAGCTAGAGAGAGCCATCTACAGTATATAATGTGAAAGGAGGATTTGTGAAACTTTGATGGAGAAGTGCCATATCAGTTTAAAAACATTTGTGAGTCTTCCAGTATGGAAAAGACAAAGCTCTTACCGTTTCCTTTGGAATTTGTGACTGGCTTTGTTCTGCATTCTAAAGGAAGTAAAAAACATAAATAAGAACACAGCTATATACGACATAAACTATCTATTAGTAGGGGGATAAGCAAAGAGGTCTAATTCTGACATGAAGTGGTAAGAGAAAAATGAAGGGCATTCATCACGCTGATTCAATTTTTTTCTAAATTAGCACTAAATGAGAAGTGAACAAAAATAACGTGCAGCAATCTGAGGCCAGCGCACCTGGCTTAATCTGGTTATGAAGAAGGTGGCTATCTGGCTAAGGAAGGATCCCAACTGCTTGCACCATTGTCTGGCTAGTGGAATGTCTTGGATGTTCTCCCTGGCATTTCTCTTCTACTCTGAGGGCTTCAAAGAATGACCTCAGCAATCCAGATGAAGCCTTCCAAATATTTTAATTAAATATCTGTTTTAAAAAACATCCATTCACATTTCAGTAAGGGATTTCCCTTTGCCATAAGTTTGAATAACAGAAACAGAATAACCACACTGCGTATCCAAAGACAGGAGGGTGCTTTTAGCATACCATAGGTGGAGCCCTCCTGTACTCTGCATTTACGTCTTAGGGCATATGAGGCAAACATACATCATTGAGAAACCATTCTGCATTCCTCAAAAATTCTGGAAGCACAAATAAGGAATACTGCTCTTCCAAGGCCATGCACACCCATACGAAAATCCCTTTAAACACTCAGGGATCATCTTGCTGCTGGCTGGATGATCGCTTTCAGGCTAACCAGATATTCTTCCATAATGAAAACCAAGAATTTTTTGGATTTTTTTGTTTTGGAGTCTTGCAGAAGATTGAAATTTTTGAACTCAAGAAAATGTAGTGGTAAAGTCAACAACCAATAAAACAAAAGATGAAGGAGGCAAATGCTAGGAACACATAAAGGACCTACAAGTAGCAATGGACAAGTTAAGGTTGTAGGATAAGGGAGACTAACTGCAGGCCCATCTCTCTTTGCTAACATTGAGAATTATTTTCGCTCAAAAGCTGAGTAACCCAAACCAATACCTCAATGGATTCAACAGTAGCAAGCTCTACAAAAATATGTCATAGGAAGTTAACTTCAGGTTTGTGAGGATGATGACAGTCTAGTGAGTTTAACTTAATTACAGTACTCCTCGCCCCTTTCATAATGGAAGGGGGCAAGAGGATGAGATTTTTATGAGAAAATCTCACGGTGATGTGGTCAAACACTAAGATATTAGATATTTGGCGTTAAGTAACACTGAAAGTAATAAAATGCCTGGTATTCTGAAGAAGCATAACTGGTTTTCGAGATCTCACTGTTGGGAGTGGAATCCAGTGGAATCTGATTTTACACACTGTGGCCACATTTTAATCACTTTTACCATTATCTGTATTATAGAAGCTGCTACACTGAATAGTGGTTCTCCATCACACTCACAGCTCTTAATGTGACAACACAAAATCCCATACTAACCTCAATGGGCTCAGTTTAACATTCCTTTAAGTTTTATATATAACTACACATTTTTGTAGTTTCCTTCCAGACAATAATGGCAACGTGCATCACAGACATTAAACTCACAACTCTCCTGAAAGTTTATTATCTTCATTTTACTTATAAAGAAACCCAAGGATAAATAACTTTTTGAAAGTCGTTCATGTAGCCATAGCCCAAAACATAAAATTTAAACACCCCTTTTATTGGGATTACTATCTGTACAAATGTTGGCAAATATAAAATGGTTTTAACAGAGTGCTGCTCAGCAAGGAACAGCAAGTCCAACACTTTATAGGATGGATAATATTAAATAACATGATTTTATGCTTACAGTTTCTGAGACATATCCCATTAAGGCAAAATTTAATGCATACAAATGTAGAAAATGTGACAGAAATAGGGGAAGGATAGAAAGACAAAGAAGGTTTGTATGGCAAAAGGATGAACCAACATGCTTTCAGACCCCCTCCCTCATCCAATATTAATTTTCTTTTATCTTCTACATAAAGCTAGTAAAAGTCAATGAGAGGAGCTGTCTAAAAAGATGTTTTTCTTTTAAGGTTATTTCTTACCAGAGAAGAAAGAACAGCCCTTATGACGGGTTTTAGTTCAACACCTTCCCCAGCAATTCTGCTTATGCTCGTTGACGGCTGTCAGCAGAGCATACCTAACATTTCTTCAAGTCAAAATGCAAACAAACACATCTTTATGCAACAGAGGATCATCACTCCCATATACTGTCAGATCCTCACAGTGCAATTTGTTCAACTGGAGTTGCAGAAATGTACAGCAGGTTAGATCTGACCCTCTGACTGAAGAGCCCACCTGACAAAAAGATCTGGTTTCTCTAGTCTGATGTCTGCCAAAATAGCTCAGAGTATCACCTGAGCAGCAGCAGGCAGGCTACCGAGGTTAAACTCACTTAAAGGATCTAATTTCATGTTATTTTTAGACCTAAATCAAGTATTACTATCATTAAATACATGCCATACTCACACCATATATTTTTTATAAGACATTCAAACAAAATAGAAAGTTAAATTATGCGCTATTTAATTATGTACTTTCCTATATTTAGTATAGAAATAATATACACAAAATTAATAATTTTCTTATTTCTAAGTTTATTTAGAAAACTTAAAAAGCATTTTCATTCACCTTTATGAAAGATAGCAATACTGTGAAAATTACACATCATAGGAAATTATAAACAGATTGCTTTCATGGGTGCAGCATTAATGTAGGGCATAATATGATTTCAAATGGTTCATTTCTCTTCATTTTAACTTGCATGTAGATGCATCAATACTTTCAGTCGTATTCCAAGCATACTCAGCTAAAACTGTGATACGTTTACAACATTCCCTGTCATTTTGACTTACTAGGTTTAATTGTAGTTTTGAAAATAAAAGACTAATGTTAAATGTCTTGAAATGGCCAAACAAAAATCTATTATTTTTTGCATTCAAAATAACACAAAACCAATAGAAAAATGATAGAATCTATTCATCACACTACAAGCCACTTATATTTGTCCACTTTTATGATAATGAAGCCAAATAATTTATTTTTAGAGCTATATATAGCTATGATAATACAAATAATAGATAACTTCAGCAGTTTAATTGAATACAGAACAAAGTAAGACTGCTACATTCACCGTCTATCTTTTCATAACAGAAATTATCTTGAATAATTATCAGAGAAAATTTCTGTATACATTATGCAAGTGGAACAGGTACAATATGAAACATCATTTTATTTCCATTTGATGTAAATTTCTCAGAAACATTTTTTGAATTACCCTGATAAATTAATAACTGCAGGGTTTCCATTGCATAGAGAGATTTCATTTATATTCAAAAAAGGCTACTGTTTTTTATATATTCCACTTTTTAGGTATTTACATATTCTGTTTTGGCATAATAGTATATGCACTGAAATATTTTAGTGAGCAAGTAGTGGGATAAATTGCAAGCTTTCAAGCATAGATTTGTCCATGTGAAAGATATGAAATAATTGCTTGTCTCCATGCATTCAAAGAAAGTTCATCCAACAGCTACTTCTATAGTAAACATCTTCACTCAAAGTAAAATTCTCATTTATACATTACTGAGAAATATTTAATTCCAATACTAGATCTCAAAGATGATAATAAACATTCATGTGAAATGTCCTAAATAAATACTATTTTGTTTCCTTATACGCAGTGCATATGTTTACTAGTAGGTGACAGAGCAGATCATTTGCTCACATTCATCTAAATAAATCTCTTAGCTTCTCTCTATTTTACGCACCAGTTCCCTTGGATGGAATGTTTCTTCCTGTCGAAAAATCAGGAGGCTGACAGTCCCTCCCATCTTGGTGCTTCTCAGCAAGGATACAACTTCCTCTTGAGTTTTGCCTGTTAAGTCAACTCCATTCACCTGAGACAAAGGAAATATTAGAAATGGGTAAGACACTAAAATAGCAAAAAATATTAGATTTCATGTAGAAAATTTATCTGATTCTCATGAGATGATATTTTTTAAAAATGCCACTGAAAAGCACTGCTTCCTGGGTCAGTATCACTTAGAGAAATTGCTGTAAATTATAAAAATAAACTACATAAATAAACTCAAACCATATTTATGTGATCTTGAGAAAAAGACCACATACACTTTGTCTAGAAATATTTCAGAAACCTGGATCATAACTGTAGCCAAAGTACTCTCAAAACCTCAAATTGCTTCTATCAAATTTGAACTTTTATATGGCTGTTTTATTTCTCTTTCATGCATATTATTACTATCCACACTATTTCACACATATTTAATATTTATAGTAATTTTTTCTTCTTTGTTATTTCCTTCTTCTAGTCAATCTCTTCTCTGGTTTTCTTCATGTTTTTCTCATTTTCCATTCTCACTACTGTTATTTATGACACTTTCTCATTTCCATTCAAGAACATAAGAAATTATGCCAGATGTTGTCTTACTAATTAAACGTGCATTCTTCACATATGAATGCAAATAAGAATCAAGACAGCGATGTTTCCTTGCACTTAAGCAAAAACAGAACACAGTATACTCTACAGCAGTTTCATCTACCAGTATTTTTACATGAATTTTTGCATGAAATTCTTTTGATGAAAACCAACGTGTGTGATCCAAACATGATTCTGTCTTTACATTGGTGTTGTACATACATACATTCTAAATATATCTTCCAAAATAAACTGTGCCCAAAGTAGAAAACTCTTTATCCCCAAAAGAACATAGGGGAGGGTTTTGGGTTTTTTTTGCTTATTTTCAGTAATCTTATCCCTTGGCCTCCATATGCCACTTACACAGTACAGCCAAGTATGGAGTATGTAATGGAACATTTTCCACAGTGTGATTGCATGAGATAACTTGAGGAAGGGAGAAGCCAGGGAAAGACAGGGTATTCTCAGGCCTCTTCAGAAACACTGCGGGCACATCAACAATGTGAAGCAAGGGAACTCAGTGTTAGAAACCATCTTCTTCTTTTCCCTTATAGAAGATCACAGCTCACACGGTTGAGATGCCATAATCATCTTTTTAGATGCCTCTCAGTCTCCTACCTACGTCATCCAGGTTACGTTGACATACTTTCAGCAATTACAATAATTACAGAAGGCTATGTGCTCTAGAAATAATTCAAGCTGACTTAGTCAGTTTGGCAGAAAAGTGAAGTTAGTGCACAAAGAGGCAATTACACAAATCTCACTTGTACCTCCAGTGTCATTTGGCTTAGGGACAGCAATGAAGAGCTGTAGAAGGTGACATCTGATATCACTCCAGCTAGGTCTGCAAGAAGATATTAAGGGGAATTTAATTCCCTTGAGGCCATTCTCCCTTCAGGAGTGAAGTAGCCTTGTTTCTCAGTAGCACTACTCCCCTGTCATATAAGCTATTGAGAGTTTTTGGAGTAAATTACACTGTGGGTTCATGCCAAAACACAGACATGCAATGCATCTTCACCTCGATTAATCGGTCTCCAGCTTTTAGTCTCCCATCTTGAATAGCTGCACCTCTTGGAAGGATGTTTTTCACATAAATTGGAGCAGAGCCACCAATTGGAACATCTCTTGAAGTAATGCTAAATCCCAGGCCCTCTGTACCTGCATAAAGAATGTATAATGTTACTTGTGAAAATGCATTTTTTATATTTTATATTGTATTTTAATTTCATTCAGCAGAATGTATGCATATCTCACTGATACAATCCATGAAAAAAATAATATATAAGCAATATAATAGTTACTGTAGAGGAGAGGGAAAAAAAGCACAATATAACTGAAGTAGTGACTCTTGGCACAGGTGGCTTAGCAGGCCCTTCAAGAAACTCACTGTTCTTATGATTTCCAAGTCACTGCCATATTTCCAACTTTCTATTTCAGATTAGATGAGTGACAAGGAACCAGAACAAAGCATATTTGATGTCCTGTCACTGCCTTCCCCCATGTCAATCTGGATATTGTCAATAATCCCCTCTTTTTCTACTGCAGCTTCTTCAGCAAGTCCTTAGAGATGACGCCACAGGGCTTGGCCAACTCCCATATGGGCCCCAGCATGAATGGGCAGAACCGTAACTTTGTGGTCTCATTCCTTCTGCTCATTTCTTCAGCAGCTCCTCTGCCCCATGGGCTTCTGCCCTGGCTCTTGGCAAATCCCTCGCATGCTGTTCCACACAGTGATGTGCAAGCTGGTGCCAGGGCCAGGCCAGGAGGTTGTGCAATTGACAGCACTTGGCTGATGCAGACCTCTAAGGCGACCTTGAGAAATCTACAAGAAAGTCCTGTACATATGGCAAATGAGGCCTGCTCATATCTAGAAGACATTCGTCTCTGAATTGTACCTCATGGTAATACCCCACCAGCAAGAGGACTTGTGATCTTCCCTCTGAATCCAAAGTTACTGACAATCTTTGAAACTCTAGGTTGAAGTCTCTGTGACACTACACATCAGACAAGGTCCATTTAGAATACTTAACTCAGCATGAAAATCAGACAGACAGATCGAGAGCCTCCAGAGTGGCACCATCAATTTGAAGCACCTCGGAGGTTGTCAAAATACGTCTACATTTCAAGGCCAATCTAGATTTAGATTTTAGATTTTTAGACTTTTACCTGACTGACTTAGGTAACTTGCAGTTAGGTCTCAGCTATATCAGTTTTACGTGAGGTCCTTTCCACATGCATAGTTATGGTCCCTAAAAGTTGCACAACACAGAATATGTATACAATCACGGGGACAGTCACTGATTTTATACAACAGTCCTCAATCTGGAGCCTCTCGTGCATCCTACGTGAAGGACACACAGAATTACTTGAGGTTAAAGCCTGAATTAATTTTGCCCTTAATCTTCTCCATGTTCATTGTCTAAGTCAGTTTTTCTATTATGCATGTTAATATTCACACTTGCAAAAAGGAAGGAACAGTTCAGTGTAGTTGGTATCAGCTTATACACATAATTCTGAAATCTGCACAATTGTATTTGACTAAGATGTAGAACAATGTAATTTGTTATCAAGAAGTTGACACAGGTGATGGGGGGCTGGAAAACACAACCTTCTGATTTACCCACAGCAAGTGTGTGCAGCTCAGATGGTTCAGGAAATTTGGATCAGTTCCAAATTCAGTGACACGAGTTCCCTTCCTTATGTCTGCAGCATTCGAGATAGATGAAAAAACTGACATTTGAATTTGAAAGTTTTCAGTCATTTTCAGACTGATATAAAATTTATCAGTGCTATTACATACAGATGAAAAAATGTTAGATCTCTTAACATCCATATTTTACTTTGGAGACCTCACAATTTTAATGATGCTTCAAACATTCATAGATCTCTTTAGCTCCTTGCAACATGTGAAAATGATCTACAAAAGTGAAAGGTTGGGTTTTTTAAGTAGCATCTCCGCTTTTTATGGAATTTATCTCTTCCTTAATTTAAGGATCTGTGTAGAAAACTGCTGTTCAAATACATGTTTTGTGCGCTAAGATTTCTAAAGTGCTATCAGAGTGTGACAACATGCCCAGGACAATATTTCATTATTAATAACCTTAATTCCCACAGCTTGATCGTGGTGTTATTACAGATGCCTGGTTCACACACTCCACTGTAAGCCCCCCCAGAAAAAAGAAAAAAAAACCACAGAAGATGAAACATTCACATTACAAATGTGCACAGAATAGAAGCTTGGACTGTGGCATTTTCTGCTGTCAACTATTCAGAAAGACTTGACCAAAGTGAGAAGAACGCTGAAGATCCACACTGAGTCCAGATATTAGCAGAATAAAATTCTAATTACTCGTTTATGTGGAAAGAAAGGGCTTTGACTTGGGTTTCATTCCACTCTGCTGCTTTCTGCAGCTTTGTATGAGGCAGCTCTTGGCTTCATTTACAGCTGGCTTTTTCACAGCGTCACTATGCTATTGGTGTTCTAGAGCTGCCCTTAGCTGGACAATGCAGCTTCACAAACTGCCATGCTTAATTATATTTAAGTTAGGATTGACAACACAGGGAGATAAATGGGTGTGGCCAAAAATAAATATGATTTCAGTGACTGGATTGTTCAGAACATTTTTTTTCCTTTTCTTCTTCCTTTTTATACACAAAATTTATTCAGTTATCCCTACTCCATGCATTTTAGTTGCCCCATTAACAGCAATGGACAAAAAATATCTCCCCATTGCTAAAACATATTCAGTCATGAGAATGTAAAATTGTGAGGTAGGCTAACTGTGCAAACATGCTGTAGACGCCTCTGATACTGTAGGAGGCAATGCAACATGATACCTCTGATTTATAACAAAAAAGCATTAAAATGGGAGAAACTGGACATGACAAACCAGTGTAAGAGGTGAAAGAATAAGGAATTTCCATCTTTTTGAAAACAAAGAGAGTCCTACTCAAAGTCAGGAGCTTTAGCTTGCAAGGTCTAGATTATCTAAGCTATGTTCAATGCATTATCTTAGAGATTTTGAAATCAGTGACAGCAGAACACATCTTCTTCACTCTATAGTTGTCATCTCTGACAACTATCAAATTACACCAAGTGATAATGATGTTTAACAATCACGCACTAATTTGTGTAATGCAAATTCTTAAGCTCCTTTTGATAAATCAGCAGCTCTCTCAACAAGTTAGAGCTCCCCTTTTCTCCTGAATGCCATTTTGAGCACACCTCCTAAGGTCACATTACCTGAAAGTGCTCAGCCAGCTCCGACCTGAAGACAAAGAAGTACTAGGTGAATAAAAACAGCAGAGGCAATAGCAAAGCAGCTCTGTTGTGCAAACAGAATTGAGGCAGATTTAATGCTCCAGTTGGTGCTTTGGAGGATATTGGTTCTATTAGCAATAAGATACGGAAAAAGAAAGATCCTTCATGGAAATCGTTAAACATATGTTCAAAATGAACACTACCTAATCATTTGGAATTAGTCTGATCACAAACTGATAGGATGTTAAAATAATTTTTAAACCTTACTGGAGATTGCTAGATTTTCTGTTATCTCCCAGTAAAGAAGTGTTTAATTTCTCAGTAACGTTATGTTTATCTTCTAGACTGTAGGAAGAGTGTCTGGAGTAACATTTCTCATTTTCCAAGGCTCCTCCTCTGCATCAAAAATTGTGCAGTCCTCAATCAGCACCAACAGCAGGTTTAAATTCTCCAGAGCAAAATGGGCCCCTGGGGAAAAATACTGCCAGAACATGAGACAAAAAGCAGTCATCTCCTCGACACTGCTTCCACTGCTTACACGTCACTCTCTACAGGACATTAATTCAGAGACTGAATGAGGAAAATCTGAAAGATCTGTACTGTTTACTATTTACAATACGTCTCTTACAGTATTTTCCCCTTCAGGAGTGTAAGCAGAGCTTGAAGTAATTCATGCTCTTCTTTCTCCTCTAATTTAAGACAATGTACATGAGTTTTCAGGTGCTTTCTAAGCCATTTTTATCAAAATATTTTATAATGATACAATTGGGCGATTTGCTAGCACAAAGGACACAGACAAAATTTTATAACATCCTAAATGTGGAAAATCCATGTGGGTGAACAGGTTTCAGATGGAATAAAAGATTGTAAAGGAAAAGTGCAGACAAAGAACACAATCTCATTTTCATAAAATAATAAGGGATATTGGTTAATATTAACAGTTCGTGACACAAAGTAGTTTAAACAACTGAATTACAAAATAAAACATCTCCACTTAATGAAAGCATTGGATTATGAAATTATCAACTATAAGGGGAGAGATAACATTACAACAAAACTAACTAGAAGGGCTGAGCATTTAGTGGCAATAATCACAGTAAATGCTCTCTTTCCAAGCATTTCAAATTCCTGCTTTTTCACCATGGACTGTTCCTTGAGATCTGTGGATGGATGGATTATTTCTAAAATAATTAACCTATTATTTTACCCTAGAAAGTAGTTTTTGCTAAGGACTGAACCTCATGCAAGAATTGAACTGAAAATATCCTCTCCTCATCATTAGGGGCTTCAATAATCTAACCAAGACCATTTTAGATACTTCCTGAGAAGTTGGTTTACTGGCTGTAATTTAAGCTCCATATTTTCAGAATATCAGCATTATTGTGGACGCAAATGACTGTTTATGAGTCTGTTTCTTAGCTGTCTATAAAATTGCTGCAGCCACACACCCAAACAATACAAATAATTGCATGCTCATTTTTTATGCAGTTGCATGGTTTGGAATGAACATTCTCTCTTTTTTTTTTTCTTTCATTAAGACTCCTAGTACATAATGATCAGAAGTATGGAAAAAAAAAAAAAAGGAAAGGTATTCTTCTTCAGTGGGTAGTAATGCTAAAAGTTATTTGCTTCACTTCTGAATCTTATTTCTCAAGGTCACTTAAACAATTTAGGAATATACCACATTTCAGAAGTGACAAATACCACTACTGCATCTCCAAAGAAAATCTAAAATCAGCCTGCTTCTAAGAGAACATTTCAATCATTTCAAAAGAAATTTTAAATAAAAATTTAAAATGTCAGTTTAAAGTCTGGCTGAAAAAAAAAACGTGGGAAAACAAGAGAATATGATGAAAAATGCATGTAAATCTGTACAGTTCAGATACATAATGCAGGA